TAGAAATTTAACCAGAATTTTCTTATATAGAAAGAAGGCTATCCAACCAGAGAAAGCCTTTTTTTTTTTTTTTTTTTTTTTCAATTCTCTTTTGCCATGATAATCATACTTGCATTTCATCAACACAGGATTGTTAAGGCGGCCATACGGAGAGCTAACTAGACGATATATGGTCTAGCAGCATAGACAGAGCCAACTTTTTTTTTTTCTTTGGCTTAGAGGAGGAAAACAATCGAGTAGATTGTAATACAAAATAATGAAGCAAAGAAAATGTAACAACGTTAAACTCCTAATTCAAAATACTAAAACTAGCATTCTGACATGGCTGATGTTATACTGTCCCTTGGCCCTTTTTTTTTTTTTTTTTTTGAATTCTGACATGGCTGATGATATTGGTTTGCATGTTGGTAGGTATTCTATTCAGTTGTTAAAACCTTAGTTATTATTAAGAGTTTAAATCTATGTTATGATGAAGAGTGTTTAAGTCCTGGAGATCCTTAACCGCATCTAATGCATATTTTACTCTTTTTTTTTTTTTAATTGTCCTTACTGGTGTGCTTATTTTATAATTCAGGATTCAAAATGCAGTGTTAGGACTTTTGGAACTAATCTAATGTGTTACATGACAGTCTCCAAGGATTCTCCAAATTTGGGTTGTCAAGCAATAATTCAGTATGAGTAATCATGAGATGCAGAAAGGTCTTATTTGTTTGGATAGAGTATTATTTGAAATATTACTGCAGCACTTTTTGTAACATGATGTATACGAGATAAAAAAATTGATTGAAAATATAAAAAGTTGATTAGAAAATATGTTTATGATGCAAGTGAAATACTATTTAGAAAATTTTGATATCCAAACAACCAAAATTTGAAACATCTCCCATTTTTTTGGCCCGTCAACACTCTTAAATTAAGAAATAATTTGAATTTAAACTAGAACACGATCATCAGATAACGACACAATATCCACATAACATCACTTTTACTGAAGTTTACAATTGCACATGCCAAAAATTAACTTATTAATGGGCATGTGGCATTCTGGAGACATTAGCTATCAGACCGAAGTAGACACATAAGACCCAAAAGATTAACGTCGTGTTGAGACACATTCTCAAAATTTGGTCTCGTCACAAAAAGATATCGAAGAATGGTTCGCAAGTAGGAGATAATGATCTGGATACATCAATTTTTAGCTCTTCATCCTAACTATTAAAAGATGCTCGGTCATGAAGTGTGATTACACAAAATCAGTGATCTACATTAAAGAGACTTGCCAGGATCATCAAAACTAAATTAAGAATGCACCATTTGAAGCAACGAGTACAAAAGATGCAAGTATATATATTCAACCAAAAAATAGAGATAATATGGGCGGGCCTTGAATAGACGGGGGTTGTATTGATCTTAAAGCAAAAAATTGCCGATTGAAGGTCACGCATTCCCTACTAAACAGCTTACAACTTCAGTCAATTGACATAAGGATTTCATACGAGGCAGCACTGAAGCTAAAGAAATCAACCAGTCTCCTGCTCAAAGTCATCTCCTTCAGACTCTTCTACATTGTCAGCATCATCATCATCTGCATCATTGTCGAAGTCCTCTTTATCATTCTCTATAGTTGCCTTCCCAATCACAAGAAGATTGCTATTCATTTTTCGGATTTCATTGCCCTGAGAAGATTTCATTACACGACATTTACCAAATTCGAAGAAGATTATAAGACATGCGAGCTAAAACCAAAATGATTGAATAGACATATTCGAGACTGAAGCTCCTCACTATTTCATGAAGATGCCAATTCCACAATTAAATGAAATTGAGGTCCTTCTAAGTCAGCGGGCCCAACAAAATTCATAAAAAGACAGCTTATTCATGACTTTTGAATTACATAGACCTACGATTAGCTTCTCAAAATTCAAGTTGGTATTCAAAACCAAGAGAAAGGGCTAATTGGAATAATCAAGCAACTGGATATGTACAAAAGTATGACAAATCATAAAGCAATAGAAATTGTGTCATGTTAGAAGAGGAACCATCAATGCCAACTGCAAAATATTGCTAACGAAAAAAGCAAATGCTTAAAGGAAACAACCAAGATTCAAAATCTAGACTACAGGCCAAGACAAATTATATAGACAAGGATCAGCTTCATCAGACTTTAAGCTGGCATTCAAAACCAAGAGAAAGGGCTATTAGAAAGAATCCAGCAACAAATGGAAGTGTGCAAAAGTACGATAATTCAGAAAAGCAAAACAAATTGTCTCAGGTTAATAAAGGAACCATCAATACCAACTCAGATATGTTGCTAAAGTAAATAATTGAAGGAAAAACAAGATATAGCATCCACAATATAGGCTGAGAAACAATCTGCTTATACTATCAAAATTATTTATAAAATAACATGGTTGTGTATCAAGTACCACAATTATTTTTCACTCTAAACAGGTAAAAACTCTAAACCAAATCATGTAGAGCTATAGTAGATTCCAGGATACAGAGCACCCATGATGTCATATAACAATGGATACATGCAAGATACATAAGTAGATATAAAATAAATTCCAAAACCTGCATATCTTCTTTAGCGCTAATTGTTTCAAGATTTTAACCTGCCATGGCTCTTATACCAAATTGGAAGTGCTTTAGTTTGCTCAATAAGCCATAAGGTGCATGTATTCTAATATCAAAAGTCATACTGGACATGGATAGTCACACAAATTTCCACTGCAGGCCATGTTCAGTTCTCAGTGCTTCTTCCAGTGGGTTAGCTTTTTACACTATTCTGTACTTACTGCCATACCCATACTGCATCAGATAATAAATTCTTATCTTCAATAACTTTGGTTAAATAAACCTCATTCCTTGACAAAGAATTTTCGTAAGAAAAACCAATATGTATCTGAAAAAGTGCAAGTTGAAGACATTTCCTAAGAAAATAAAATTATGTTTGCCTGTTCAATCACATAAAATCATTCCATATTAACACACAACAAAAGAGGGTAGATGTGCATTTGATTAAATCTCCAGCTGTTTTAACCATCAACTAACCTTACCATTCAAAACCGTTCCTTTCCACATGGCTAAGTAGCCCAAATTATGAATGTGATCAAGCATTTGTTACTTATTGAGTTTGCTCTCTTCATTAAGCTCAAGACTGATCAAATGTACTTCCTGACAGCCTAGATTGACTGTGCAAACGAGTAACCAATATTAGAAAGGTATGTCACTGATTGAGATTAGCTAATAACTGCAAGATTCTGCAATTACCAAATAAATACATCCGAAACAAGCATGTTGCATCTTCAACATACAATTCAAATTAACCACTCTCACAATGTCCAACTGTTAAATTTCACAAATCAAAGTGCATAAATTTATTGATCAAATACCAACAGAGAAGAACAACTCAGCCCAGCTCCAAGTGTACAATAGATCACAAATTAGAGCTGTAAAATGCCAACTTCGCAGGACATCACTGAAAATTGATAACACATGGAGGAAGTAAGTTGGTGAACTTTGACAGCTACACATGCAGATCCCACCACATTGTTGCCATTAGCATGATTAATGTCAAATTTTAGAAACATATTAATGCAAAACTAAGTTTCAGGCTTACAGCAAGCATATCAATTAGCAACAGAAGGAAATATTCAAGGGGCCATTCTTTTGCAGAACAGTTTTAATAAACAACACCTTTTTCAACGAAACAAATAACTAAGAACTGTTTCAGACGGGAATTAAAAAGAAAAACAAACAGTAAGAATCTTACAATGTAAACTTTGACAAATTGGTAATAAAAAAACTGTACCATCATTACTAGTCCTTCCTCTTCTTTCTAAACCGAAATCCATGTTCTTTTTGCTGGAATCTCTTGACATGGAATTCCTAATTCTTCGGCCTTCTTTTATGTCAAATTACTGGGATTTCAAAACTCTAAGAATATCAAATTCACTCCATTTGTCAGATAAAATTCCACCTAAAGGTGGCATTATTTCAAAATCCTGCCATTATCTATTGAGTTTTACTTTCATTACCTTTTCTTTTCTGAAAATTGCATACATAATCTCATCTAACAAAGAACAATGAAAATTTAAATCCAAGATTTCATTTTCCCGAATCTTCAAGTCCTACTAAATAAACAAGTCCTTACAAAGTTGCCAAGCATTCCCTAAAACTTCCATCTAGTCGTGAACTTCAAGGTTCGCTCATTCAAGCATTTTTTTTTTTTGGATCTTGACCTAATTTAATTCTTCAAAATGCTTGGAAAATCAAATATGTCTTTACATCAGCATACCAAATAAACAATTACAAACACTATACTACATTAAAGCCTTAGAAAACATTAAGCATACAAGCAACTTTAAAACCAATTTCCGAAAATTAAATAACTCAGCTTTACTCCAAAAATTTATTGAAAAAAACCTGGAGATCAACTGCAATCTGAAATTGTAATTAACTATTGAAAAAAGGAAGTTAGAAATTTTCGGACCTTTTATTCGAAGTCGGCCTCTTCCATGGAGAGGAGGAGCTCGTCGCTTTGGGGCTGAGGCCACTGAGCTGGAAGCAGATACGACGTCGGAATCATCCGAGTCGACCATGGGTACCGAGTCATGAATGCCGGAAATTGCAACATGCTCGCTCGCTCACTCACTGAGTCGTCGGCCGTTCTCCTCTTCTCTCTTCTCTGCCCGGTTTTAGCCATCAATTCAGGTCAAAGTTCGACCCGTTTTTGTGAATGAGACGAATTTTATTTCAAGTTATCAAAATAAAGTCTGGTATTTGCTTTTCGGGTTGCATATTTTACATTTTTTATTTTTAAGTCCCCATATGTTTCTAAGTACTGCATTTTGACCCAGAGAATATGAAGCTTATTATTATCTCTTTTTTTTTTCCCCTTATTTTCCTTTGACATTTCATTACCATAATCTTCCTTTGACATTTCCTTATTTTCCTTTGCTCACTATATATATATATATATATTGTAATTTAGACAAATGCATTCAGCCATTAGCCACCAACCCTTTAATTTTGCTTGCAAGATTTATTTGTTAGTGCTTTTTGTGTATTTGTTGGAGGGGAGGGAGTTGGCAGTGAAGGATTCATATGTGAAATTGAAAGTTGGTAAGTCTAAGTCTAAGACAAGGGTGTTGAAGAACACAAGAAATCCTGTTTGGAATGAAGAGTTTGTGTTCAGAGTGCATGACTTGGAGGATGAACTTGTTTTGTCTGTGTATCAGTTTAATGAAGACTCTGGATTCTTTAATGTGGCTGGAGATTTGGTCGGCAGGGTTAAGATTCCAGTTTGGTCTATTGTTGCTGAGAAAAACCACTACTTGCCTCCCACTTGGTTCTCTCTTCAAAAGCGCAAGAGTTTGAAATCAACCACTAACAAAGATTATGGTATAGCTTTGTATGTTTTGTTAGACTTATTTGATAATCTGTGCTAATGCTTTTGTTATTGTTGTTTTTATGTACTTGTTTATGTTTAAATCATGTGCCTACTGCTAATCTCTGAGTCTTTTAATGGTTTTGGCTTCTTGAACTGGACTTCAAGCACCAAGAATTTTGAAATTTTATTTAATTGGTACAGTTAATTGCATGATGATAAATCAATGATTGAAACAATGACATGATTTCTAAGTGGCATTTCTTTCCTATAGAAGAATTTTGGTGCTCCCCGCTGTTAATTTTTTTGGTCAGTTTGCAGAACTGAAACTTAAAAGTAGCCTTAGGAATGTTAGGACCAGTTATAGGAGCCCACTTCCATGCGTGGTTCTATATTTACAAGAATTAGAAGGCCTTGGGTAGCATTTGCGCACACATTATCCCTATTTAAGGTGTCAATTTGATTTTGACGAATTGGTTAATCAGATTATCGATTAGAAAAGTTGAAATCAGTGAAATGGCCTTGTCCTCAATTCTGCATTTTTTTTTTCCGGTTATGCTCAGATATATGAAATACAGTAATAGGGTATTCAAGTTTATTTGTGAAGAATTTTATGAGTCAGAATACCTTATCACAGATTGATTGGGTATCTTAAAAATTAAAGCGAGATTTTCTGCAATAGTTAGGCAGGTCGTCCTTTTCGTGGGTTTCCTTATTGACTAGTAACATGTTGAGTTATATTATAAAAGAGAATAAAGGTTGCATGTTTCTTGAAGTAGTTCTCTTTTTCTTGATGTGTATGAAGAAACAAACGAGTTCTAAAGTTATTAAGCACAAAGCTGAATTTCATGGATAAATAAGTCTGAAAGGGCAACTAGTTCAGAGTTTAGGAAAGGTTAGGTTGCAGAGTTTAGAATTAAAATTGCCCTTGTGATGCTAAAGGTTGATTAGTTGTCAAGAAGGCTCAGTGCAGGCTGCTGAGAAAACATTGTTGGTCAATATTACCATTCTGTGCAAATAATTATAGCAGGTTGACTTATGTTTTCTAGGTCCACCAATTTTCAGAAATGTTTAAGAAAGAGGTCCAAATGTTATATGCTTTCAAGCTGTAGTTTTTTGTCTCTTAGGAGAATAGGATGGTGCAAAGTTCCCTTCTTTGTGCTTAACACTGCATCCTCTTCCAAGTTGTTCTGTACTCCTGTCCCATCCAGTCCGTTTCTTGAAGTTAAGTATTGCCATCTTATGAGCTGGTACATTTCATTGAGGCTTCCTCATATAAGCAGGCTGCAGCAGGGATTGACCTGGCTCTCTGCCTTCATCCAGCTTGTTGCTGTACTAGACCATGTGCAAAGTCCATTTAGCGGAAGTAGCATTATTCAAGCCCTGAACCAACTCTTACCAAGCTCTATTAGATTGGATAGTAATCATCTTTATAAACAGAACTGATGTTGATGACTGTTGACTGTCTTAGCCTTTCATATTGGGGAAATGTTTCAGCAATTCACCAAATGTGAGTAGTTTGAGTAGCAAAATCCCAAAAGCAGTTGTCGTAAATACGAGTATATGGAAACTGTTGAACACTACAGGCCTTGTTCCAGGTTCAACTCCTCGTCAATGTACTTTCTCTGCCTGGAGCTGGAGCTAATGATCTTTTTTGATCATGTTGAAGTGGACGGACCATGTGATGATAAAAAAAGAGGGGTTTATAATCCTTAGAATAGCTGAATATCATGGTCTTGTAGACATTGTGCAAAACCATTTAAAATGGATGTGTTCCTTTTGCTTGCTTTTCTACTTTTTAGCCGTTTCTGCGTTCTGCTTAATATGCAGTCTGTTTATTTGAAATGTTTCCATTAAATGTATTTGTTTCTTAATGTTACAGATAAAGTCATGCAATAGCAACTTCATTACAGTTCTAGTAGTGTCTCCTAGTATATCTGTTTATATGATTTTAAAAGATTCAATGCTTCTAAACAGCTAAGGTAAAAAAGGGGAAGTAATTTTTTCATGGTATTATTTGGCAGTGTCTTGCTTTACAATTCTTATATGGCAGTGAAAAGGAGATTAAGAGGATTTAATTGGCTCTCCCATTGAACCTAATAACTTAGTTTATAAACCAACTATGCAGTTGTATTTGACTTTACCTTATGAATGAATGCAGGTAAAGTTCTTCTGACACTGTCACTGCAAGGGAGAGGTGAGCAAGTATGCAGTGACCATCTCTTGTATGTACATCCAAGTTGCAGAGCTGAAAACACCAATGAGTATGGAGATAAATGTGTTTCATCTCAAGATATTTTTAGCTGTACTCCTCCAACAAAGAAGATTTTAGAAGGGAAACATCTAGTGAAGGTTATTGCTGGTCGCTTAGAGAAGCTTTTCAACAAAAATGAAGATGCATCAGGGACTGAGGATTCATCTGAGCTCTCAACTACCATTTCTGATAATGAAGAAAACTTGGCTTAGCCAACCAGTAACAGTAACTTTGAAGAGCTGATTGAAATGCTGCAATCAAGCAATGAACAAAAAGACATGCCAGAGAACCTAGAGGAAGGCATCCTTTTGGATCAGGCATATGCAATACCACCTAATGATCTCAACATGCTTCTGTTTGCTCCCAAGTCGCAATTCATGAGAGATCTTGCAGAATTGCAGGGAACAACAGATGTTCAAGAGGGCCCTTGGACATGGAAATCAGCAGATAAATCATGTTTAGCACGAGTTGTTACCTACACCAAAGCAGCAACAAAATGGCTTCGCAAATGTCAGAAGTATTTTGTCACCTGTCAAGTTCCAACAGAGCAGCAACTGGAAGTGATCGAAATATTTCTTGATAGCAAGGCATCAAAATGAAGCATCCAATATTATCATGGCAGCAATTTTCTGACCTATTATGTGAGAGATTTGCAGACAAAAGAACTCATGATGTGGTGGAAGATTTCAACAAGTTACAACAGCTGGGAACTGTGGATGAATATCAAGAAAAATTTGAAGAACTGAAATGTAAGAAATTGTTTTACTAAGTTCTGACAAAATCCTTGTCCCAAATTAACTATGCACAAACAGCTAAACAAAAAGAATCTAAGCGTAAAACCAAGCATATGCATTGCTGTCCAGTGCCTGCATGATCTTCTTGACCCCCCTCCTCCCTTATCAAAAAAGATGCTTAGCTAGTTGAGGATCGGATGACAAGGAGGAGGAATGACTGATGGGGTGTAGACAATTCCATCCTTAACGAATGGAACACCTGGGATCTTTACCCACAACCCATCAGAATTTTTTTTCTTCCATATTCGTATTCCAACTTTCAGCAGCAGATGACCATTCTCCATATGGATGAATCTGCAATAGCTAGGGAAATATCGTGGGATGGCAGGTCTAGGATTGATTGCATTCATCCAAAACTGGTCTTCTTCTTTTGGCACCCAAAATGAAATGTCATCTGTGTCAAGGCCAGGTCTCACATTGATTACATGCCTCCAAACCTGATCTTTTTCTCGCACCCAGAACGATATCCTATCTAATTTAAAGCAAATCAGAGAAAGATCATCATTCAAGGAATCCAACCTTGCCACAGATACATTATCCACTGGAAGCTCCAATCTGTCATTATCTACAAGATTTTCAGGGTTTATCTTGAGTATTCTAGGCTTAGTCCCATCATCAAACTGCATAAACCAGTAGAGAAAGCCATTGGAGAAGGCTCCAGAATCCACAGGACTTCCTTCACCTAATAGAGGTGAGTAATCAAGATTTAGCCACTCCCAAGTTCTTGTAGTAAAAATGCAGAGATATGATCCCATAGAGAGAACTGCCACTCTGAAATCATTTACACCATTTCGTGTTGACCCCCAAAATGCATATGAAACATTGCTCCTCTTTCCCGTCAATCTCCCCCTTTCAAAATTGGGCATCGCAGGCAAATTTTGGCACTTATTCAAGGTAGGATTGACGAGGATTATATCACCAAGAAAATTCCGTCGTTGTGTCAGGACCAGGCATATTATGCCCAAGATGGAGCTGCCAATTATCTTTGGGTCTTGAGTAGGTACTCCGCTAATTGTTACATCCTGTCGTTCCTCCCTCCTGGTGTCCCCAGAAACTTGAATCTCGCTCATTATCTTGAGCCTTTTTCCCTGTTCATAGGAATCATAACATAACATCAATTTTTTCTGAGACATTCTCATTCGCATGTGATGGAACCATGTTGAAGAAATGATTATGTTCCAATACTTTGAGACTGTACAGCACCTCCCTATGTCCTTGATATCGGCTCTACACAGAATTTCGGCTACAAGATTCTCATGGTTACCAACAAACTCCCTACTAGAATTATATCCACCCAACCCTGTTTCAAGAAGTAAGGATCTCCAAGCAGCTGTCACGTTATCCTGATCCTCCATAGGATGAGCAAATTCAGCCATGATTGTTCAATTCAAGAAGTGTTCAAGAAGTGAGTTGGAAAAAAAATTCAACAAAGAAATTCAATAAAGAGAGGAATGCAGTATTTGCTGCTTATTCATCTTGAGTTTTGAGGCAGAGGCAGAGGCAGAATGAAAGGAAAGAATGAAAAAGAATGATGATGAAAGATTTTTGAATATGCCTGTATATATATACTAACTTGAAAATTAACGGTTAAAACGGCTAAATTTGAACCAATACAAAAAGATGTAAATCATTTTCCTAAAGAAAAGGTTTTCAGTGGTCTAATTGCATCCAAACACTGGAAAATTCGGAAAAGACTTTCCGGAAAATAGTTTACATGGAAACAAACGGATCCTAAGATTTTTAAATAAAAGGCAAACAATTGAAGCCATGTAAGTCAGAGTTCATAAGATTGGCCCCATACCTAGTTGTACATCCAAGCTGTTTGGCCGATTGAAGTTGGTCTTCTTCAAAATTTTTGTATCTTTGAAACAATTTTCATGTGGATCCTGCATATCAAGTTGAGGTGGCTTGTATACTTGTACAGATCAATATAAGTTTCGTATAATTTTTTCTTAAGACACATAATTATGTGCATCTTTTATCGCTCAATAGTATAAGACCAAACCTCAATTTAGGGTCGAGGTAGATTACTCTCTCCTGTTTTGTATATGATAGCAACAGGTTATAGCCCTTTTATTTATTAATTAATTAATTTATAATCCACGAGACAATTTCATTGGAACAAAGTTGCAATAATCATAGCAAATAGATCAAAACATGCAACAAATACAAATATTAGTTGAAATTGAATCCGATTGTTTGGATTACACATTATTTACACACACTAATTTGCTTGCATTTTCAACATATTTTTCAATCACCTTTTTATTTCACATATATCACATCAAAAAAGTGCTATTATATGTTTTCACAAAATTGTCTCAAATAATCTAATTTTTGCAAAATGGAAGTGAAGTAAATAAAGATAGTGTTCAATAGTGGTAGATAGCAAATGCATGCACTCTCACACTCTTCTTTTCCCACATGAATCTTAGATGCTAGTTTAGCTAAATAGGCATAATTTCTTAATTCAGATATAATATTTAATTAATGCCAGTTTTCTTAAAAAATGTCACCTTTACCACTGTGCCAAAAAGGATCTCTGTTTAGTTCAATCATGCACCATTTGGGTCTTAATCTCAACTCTATATGTTAAATTTGATGTGCCATACCCTCTTCTTTTATTATAAATTCATACCAGACATTATTTCACATAGAAAGGACAAAGAATGTATGTTGTTAAATCTATAACAAGGTTGGGATTTGGCACAATTTTGTTATTGATTGATTTTTTGTCTAGTTACCATAATTCAGTAAAAAATATGCATGCAAAAAAGCAAAATTATGCTTTCCAAAAGGATTAAAAAGAATGTAATTCTAAACAAATTTAGAAACTTCTCTCGTTTTGTACTCGAAGAATTTCTTATCAGATAATTTGATTGGATAATATTTTGTCACCATCTTTTTCTCTTTGTTTTCCTTCTGCCCGGTACAATCCGTATTGAGTGTTGTGGCTGAATTGCATTACACAATATTGTTTCCTTTCACAAAATAAAGTTAGTAAATTGAATCATGTTGGCCTTTATGAACAATATTTCTAAACCCTTGTTAGGTATCGTATTTATGAATTGCACATCGATAATTGCATAAAGCCACAAGACAAACAGAGAGAGCATATGCGAAAGAGCAGCTAGCTCTGGAGGAACCTTTTTTTTTTTAATGCCTTCAAACAAATTCCTTGAATTAAATTTGTTCAAGGCAAAATATTTTGTTTAGGGTTCTAATTCATTCGATTCAGTCAACGAATATAACTTGGCTTGTGAAATTTATTTGCATAATGGAATAATTGCAAATTTTGGTAATTATGACTCTAACAATTTAAAAATGCTATTTCAATTTTATTACTGGTCGCAAAACTGAACATCAAGAGAAATGACTTCCGTCTTCATGATCAGTCATCAGAATGCATCAAGAACTTTTACTAACAGTGGTAAAAGCAAACACAAGTACTCCTGCTTCCTTTCCTTGTTGATACATTGAAATTTTTGGAGACTGCCTTGTGGGACTTTAGATAAACAAGGATTGAAGCAGCTTGTCGGAGTCGTAGTTGAGCAGTCTCCGGGAAATGCAGTCCGGCAAATTTTGTCAGCATGGACAAGGGGAATGAATCGCTCAACTGCAATATTCATCATAAAACAAAATCTTAGGAGAAAAAAAATGGTTGTTATCTCGTTTTTAAAGAAGTAGAGAAAAAAGAAATCATCATATATACCACAAAGTCAAGATATTAGGTACTACTTGTTTTCAGTTCGAGTCTCTAGTAGAGAAAAAGGAAGGTTTAAAAAAATATGGAAGGTGGAATTAAAACCCATACATGTTAAAAAATAAACTAAAAAGAAGAAGAAGAAGAAAAGAAAGTCTGGGGGAAAAATCAAATTTGATATCAAATAATGGTTCACAAACAAAATCTCGTTTATGAACTTCTTACTATAGCAATTATATTGTTTTGCTTCTTCTTATTTATTTATTTATTTTTTTTGTCAAAACGATAACATTTCATAGAATGGAAAGAGCAATAGCTCGTTTTGCTTCTGCTTATGATTGGTTAGAATTTTCATATTTCACTCAAGTGAGGAGGTGGAATGATGTAAAAGATAAGCTATAGCCACAACTGTACCTGGAGCATAGCAAACAAAGCTGACCAAGAGCATAAAAAATATCAATGACTTTGCCATCTTCAAACTCAAATTATATGCAAACTATTGGTGGAAGAAGAATGATTTCAGCTGTTTTACAACCTGTAAGTGACTTTGATGGTATGCCTTTTAATAGTGAAACTCTTCATAAGTGCAAGATTTTGAAAGCTAATCTTTATCTTCTGTTTATGGTGGTTATAATAATTTGGCATCAACTCACTATGGAAATCAAAGTTCGTCTCCCCCTTTGTCAATCAAAGTATTCATTTTGCATTACTATTATGGCAATTGGTTGAGTTGCTTATCACTTTGTACATTGAATTTACACTTAATCTGGTATTTCTCTAAAGGCTGTAGAATGGAACTCGATGGTATTTCTGTGCAGATTTTCTTGCAAAGATGGGATTGAATGTGCATGCTTGGATTAGCTGTTTTTTACTATCCTTCGGATACTCTTAGCCAAGACATCCAAGGGTCTCTGCCGAAAAAAAAAGGGTGCAGATAATCATAATTACTGGCCTCATCGTAACTTAACACATTTGACTTCATTTTTGAAAAGATTAAACTATAAGCCCCTTTTAACATTGTTAGACAAATCTATTTTCAATTTAATAAAAAATCAATGTGATATGAAATTTTTGTTTTTGAGTAATTATGAATTGTTTGATTTCTTAAAAATTCTAACACTTTTTTGTAATATGATTTGTAAAATAAAAAAGGAGTTGAAAACATAAAAGCATAATTAAAGAAAAATATTTGTCATGAATAGTTTTGCTACCCCAAATACACTACCATGCTTCCTTGGTTAGGAAATACAAAGGGTGGGAACCCATGTTCGGGCCCTTTATGGATTCACAAATTTGTTTGCTTCAAATTCATGGTAGTCCTAGCCCTATAA